TCTCATGAGGTGCAGTTCCTTCATAGAGAAAGGCTGGACAAAGTCACCATCATCATCTGATTGAGGAGGCCCTGCTCTTTTATCTGCTTGAGAGGTCTCTGCTCCATCAACTGATTTAGAGTCATCGGCTTCCTCAATTTCAGTCTATTGTTGCTTGAAGAAACTCTGGGTGTCTCAGATGGGAGCGGGTAAAAAGAGAGGAGCCTTCTCCCTTTCCTTTGCTCCTGGTCACAGGATTAACTAGTTTGATTCAAATGGGAGTAGACTTTATTTTTGCAGAAACAGCTGTGTTTGTAGCAGCACTCTCAGAGGCAGCTGTTTTTGTAACAGTATAAGTGGTGGTTTCAGCAGCAGTGGTGGCAGCAGCAATACTGGCAGCAGCATTGCCTGTGGAGGACTGGCAGTGAGTGGATCAACACCTTACCCTATACATTCACTATACATTATAAACTTTCAGCAGAAGCATCCCTACTGCAGCAATGCTATTCAGATCAAGAGCTGGGAGATTCAGCTTGCAAGAAAATGGAGAGGTAAAATTGTACCTGCTACTGACATTACCAACATGGACCGTTCCGTTCTCTTTAGGATTTGTACTGTAACTGTACACATACAGTGCCCCCATAAAGATCAGTATCATAACCCCTAGGATCACTAGACTGGTAATGATATGGTTGATTATGGCCACAGTTCTGTCAGTAAACTATAAAACAATCACAAGAGCCGTTAGAGCAGTATGCTCTCGGCTGCATACCACATGTACAACTGCATCTTGGGAAAAAGGTCCAGCAGATGCATTGCAGAAAGTGTCTGTTCAGTTTTCAACCCATCATTAAATTCAGCAGAAGTGTTGCCCATTGCTATCTGAGGGATTCCTCCCATCAGAGATGGAATATTGAAAACTCCCAATTAGTGAAAATTTATAATCTGGACTTAAAATCGGGCCCCATGTGGGCACCAACAAATTGTTGTCACCGTTTGACTCAGGTTCAACAACAATGCTCTCTATCCCCTCCCCCTCCCACCCAGGTAGGGAAGGAGAGAGAGAATGAGGAGAGAGTCACTCTGGATTGAAAACTAAACTACACATCTTTAATTAAACACCAATGATAAAAGAAAATATATACCATTATATACAAATATGTTCAGGTAATGTGCAGAACCCTTATTTCCTCCCCCAGCAACTCCCACAGCACTTTCCTTATCTGCAAACAGTCCCGAAAATTCCGGAGCTGCTGCTGGAGAGAGCGCAGAGTGATGAGGGTCAGGAGAGCTCAAGCCTGGGGGTTGACAGTGATGGATGGATGGAGTCCTCCCTGGATGCCAGCCATAGACAGAAGAGAAGGGAAGAAGAAGCAGGAAGGAAGTTGTCTTCTGTGGTCTCTGACCTTCCTCTGAGCTTACGTAGATGTATGGAATGGAATATCTCTGGCCAATTTTGCTGTCTGTCTAATTCAGCCTCCTACGGGGGGGTCACAGATCTCTCTGTAATGTCTGAGCCAGCAGGGCAAAGACGTGACCTTGGAGTCCCAGGAATAACAAAAACAATCCTGCATTTGTTATCGGTCTTTGTTGGAACACTTTGCTAGTTATAAGAAAGGCTACTGAAAAAATCAGTAAAAGGAAAAGTGGCTCAAACCAGGTCAGGCGGGCTGGGGCTGTCCTGCCTGGGCCTCAGCCAGATGTGAAGAGTCACACATGGGAAGCCCCATCCAACAGCCAGTCTCTCTTCCTGCACTCTTATTGCCTTCCACATCCCCAGCTGTACTTTCCTCTGGCAGCCTGCACTCTTCTGCACCCCATGGCCTTTAATCCAGCTTTATATGTGCCATCTTCCTGCTCTGTCCTCTCTGTCCCTGTGCCCCTGCTTGCGATTTATGCCGTTATTGTCCGCAGCAAGCAGATGAGAGCCTGAACTTTGAGGAGCAGATCCTGAAAGCTGCCAAATCCATTGCTGCAGCCACGAACACCCTGATGAAGGCAGCCTCAGTAGCCCACTGAGAATTAGTGGCCCAAGAAAAAGTAAGACTGGATAGGGGAAAGAAAATCTAGGGCTGTGGTGGGCTCTCCCTTCTTCTGGGGCTGCTTGCAGCCATTGAGTCCTGTGGTAGGGGGTGAACGAGGTGGTGAGCCTCACTCCTCCTCTCCTGCCTCTCAGGTGGGTACTGTTAGAAATTAAATGTAGTGTTGTTTTTGCATCCTAGTGTTAGAAATATAGTGTCGGGTTTGGTTTTTTTTTATATATACCCTAGTGTTAGGAATATAATAGTTTGTTTAAGAGAAGTGAGATATCTGCACATTCTAAGGACACCAGGAGTGGTTTACGGCCCAAGAAACTGAGGGAGTGAATTGGGCTCCATCTGAGGATCTAAACATGGAGAAGGATTTATGGCCCAAGATAAGACCAAACAAAGCCACTTCTATCTTGCTGCTCAGGGCAGGATGACACCAGTAGATTTGTTAATTGGGAAGACAGCTAAGGGGGCAAGAAAGGTCAAAATTTTACCTTAAAAGGTAAAAAGTAAACTGCTAGAATGGAATGTGTAAACAGGGGTGGGAAACTTATAGGATAATTAGAAGTATCGGATAGGCTGTAAACCCTGGAGTACCCAGCCAGTGGGGAAACAGGGGAGGGAACTTTGCATCGGGAATAGGGAATATAAACCGTTATTCACCTTACTATGGGTGTGCCTACTTGTTTAGGACACCCATTCTTGCAAGAGTGTAAATAAACTGTGCTTCGTTGAAGGATCGGTGACACTGTAGGATGGGGAGGACAAAGTCCAACCAGAAGCTAGTGGGTCAACACAAAGGGCAAGGAGGGTTTGTTCACTGAGTAATCGTCGCAGGCAAAACAGACTTAACTTGGGGAAAAATGATAATTTAAATAAATAATAATTTAATTTCTCACTCAGAGGCACAAGGGAACAGGGGATGGGGTTTAGAGTTAGTCCACAGTCTGTTGTTTGCTGCTGCTCCTTCCTCCTCAGGAAGAAGGATTCCTCACAGTCCTCCCCTGTTTCCCCATGGCTTCCCTCCCCTTCCATGAGAGAGAATTCTTCATGAACACAAGTCCTTCCCACGAGGTACAGTCCCTCAGGAGCAGACTGCTCCAGCGTGGTCTTCCTACAGAGTCACGGGCTGCTTCAGGAACAGTCACCTCCCTTGGTGTGGAGTTCTCCACGTCTGCGTGATCCAAGCCCACTGGCTGCAAGTCCACAGCCTGCAGGTCCACATTCGCCCCTCCGGGCGCCTTCAGGACATGTTCCATCACGTTTTTCTATGATTGCAGGGGGACAGCCTGCCATCTAGCAGGCTGTAGGAGAACTTCTGCTCGGGCATCTTCTTCCCCCTTCTTTCTCACCAACCTCGGGATTCTGCACCACGGCCCTGCTTTTCACCTCTCCCACACAGCTCTTCCCACTTGCTCTCTGCTCAGGTCTTATCAGTTCTTTCATATGTTAATCGCAGAGGCACATCTATTGTCTCTCTAAAGGTTTTGGCTCTGGCCATCTGAGATGGGGGAGTTTTTACTAGCTTCTTACGGGAGCCACCCCTAGGGCCCCTCCCCCGCTATCGAAACTATACCAGCACACACCTGTGCTGTGTCTTGGCCAGATAAGCAAGTTGCTCATCCCTGTTGTGGTGAAAAGCCGAAATCAGGACTCAATAGTCATAGTGACTATTAAGCAGGTATTCTTTATTGCAGCGCTGGGCACACAGAGGAAAGCTCCGCCTATTGTGTGCACCTTTGCTCTTTATTTTACAGTATTTTATACAATTATACAATTTATACATATTCATTACGTTTCCTGAAACAGGCGGGGATATTGTAATCACAAGTTTCCTCCCTTTGGCACAAGCGCATTGCCCTCCAGGGGTCTTCTTCAGGGGTCTCGGGAGGAAGGCTCCCAGTCTTCCTCGGTGTTGAACTTTTCACCTTTCCCTCTCACGCATGCTCAGTAAGTAGTTTGGTTTTGGTTTTTTTACGATTTTGCCAACAACAGCTGGTTTAGATCAGCTCCCATCCTGTTGTCTGCTGAGCCCCGCACATATATCTTTAGCGCAAACTTAAACAATGTCACTCAGTCCTTCTGCTTTAAGCACAATAGCCAATTTCTTTCCCTCTTCATCCCCCTACTCATTGTCAAGTAAAATATAAGTGCACTAAATTAGCCTGCACTCTTGTCCAAGGCTATACAAGATAAATACATTAATTGGCTTGAATGAACAAAGAAATCTGTGTTCCCACAGTGTCCCCAACTGCAAATCACAGCCTGTGGGCACCCCTTGAGTACAATCAGCCTGTGAGTGTCCCCAATACTGCAGTGCCAGTCCATGGGTGCCCCCAATTGTGGTGCTAGCCCCTGAGGTGCTCCTAAGCCAGTGCCAGGAAGCAGGATCCCCTGGACCCCAGGGTGCAGTGACAGGGTGTGCCTAGGACAGTGCCAGCTGTGCAGTGTCCTCTAGCATAGGGACAGCTCTAGCCAGAGCAGAAGCAGGTCTCGGACCCTGAGGATGGACAGCTGGTGATGTTCCTGGGGCATGGTAACAGCACACTGCCAGCCCATGGGAGTCCCAAGTGCAGGGCCAGCCATGGGATGTCCTCCAAAGTGGTGAGAGGCAACAGGGTGTCCCCCTAGCCCAGTGCCACCAGAAATGCCCCTACAGAACTACTGCAGGGTGTCCCTAGCACAGTGCCCCCTCAAGGTGTCCCTAGTGCAGTGTCACTGGGCTGTCCCTAGTCCAGTGCCCTCATGGGTACCCAGCGCCGGGGCTGCGATGGTGCCTGCCGGGGGTGCCGCCCTTCTGTCTCGCTCGGCACTGCCCGGTCGGTGGCGAGCTTATCCCTAAAAGGTGCTGGCAGGCAGCGGGGGAGGTGCTGAGACGGCCTCCTCCTGGAGCGGCCCCTCCCCGGCTCTTAGGAGGTGCCGCGGGGCGGGGGACGCAGTGCCAGTGCTCCTGCCTTCTCTGGTGATCCGCGTACTGCCGCAGCCGCCGCCATGGAGGCCATCAAACAGAAGATGCAGATGCTGAAACTGGACAAGGAGAACGCCATCGACCGTGCCGAACAGGAGTTAAGGGTGCTCAACCCCGGAGACTTTGTCCTGCTGGATGTCCAGCCTGGGGACCCTTCACCCTAGGAGTGCCTGGTCCTGGGGATCTGCCCTTCCTGGGTGTCCAGCCTGCAGATCCCAGCTCTAGGGGAGCCCAGCCCTTGGGATCTCACCCCAATGGGTGCCTGTACCTGGGGACCTCACCCTGCTGAGTGCTCATCCCCAGGGACCAGCATTTCAGCCTGTTGTCCTTGACCACTCATGGCAGTTTCCTCCCCCAACCATGCCATGTTCTTGGTGGGACGCTGCAGTGCTACCTCCCTATCCCTCTGCCGGGGAGACCCCTGGGGACAGCATATTCCCACTCCAGTCACAGAGATGGAAACCTCAGTGCCCCCTGGAGCTGTGTCTGCCAGTCAGGACCTCTCCAGTCTCTTGCATAGGGAGGGAGCCTATCACCCCCCTTACCCCTGCTGGGCTCAGGGATGCTGGGGATTGCTCTGACCCTGGGAACCAAGGGCTCCCTGAGGATGTATGGCATCAAAGTTGACAGTGATAGTGTCTGCATGCTCCTGCTGTGCCCCCAGCTTTGACTTCCCCTGGAGGAGGATGGCTATCCCCTCCCCAGCCTCGCAGGTGCTGCCATCCCCTCTGACCCTCACCCTCCATCCCTTCTCCAGCTGGAGGAGGAACAGCAGGGCCTGCAGAAGAAGCTGAAGGGCACAGAGGATGAGGTGGAGAAGTACTCCGAGTCTGTCAAGGAGGCCCAGGAGAAGCTGGAGCAGGCGGAGAAGAAAGCTACAGGTGTAAGTAGTCGAGCCAGCAACTCCTGCCCTGCACAGGCGCCGGACCTCTCGGAGGGGTAGGATTATGAAGGAAGGGGGAGGCCTTATATGGAAAGTGATTGTGGGGAAGACTGTCAGGATCTCATTCCTGCAACACTGACACTGAACACATCTGAGATGCAAGGCAGGGACTGGCCGGATCCTGCTTAGGGTATGGGGCCCAGGAAGGCTGCAGAGGGCACCCCTTGTTCAGCTCTGGAACTTCATGGGCAGCTGCCTGCCTGGTTCCCCAAAGCTAATTGGGACAAGTGTCCCAAGCTGTGTCACCAGTCTCTGGGCACGTGCCTCCACAATGCCTGTAGAAAAAAAGTCTGTGTTACTTGCTGAACTGTCAGGACACCCTATAAATAAATCCTCCTTTTGATAGCCAGCCCTTCTTTGATGAAAACCAACCCTGGAAACTGGAGGAGAAGCTAAAGGGGAGCCAGCTGGACTGTGGCCAACAGGGCATGGCCAGGCTTTTTAGGATTGAGAACAAAAAATTCAGTCCCAACTGGTTTATGGAGCTAAATGGGAGATATGTGTCAAATATCTGAGGCGATCACCGAGGACAGGGGCAAGCAGACAAGGATGAGCAGCACAAGTCCCCAGGGCAGGCAGCCTGGAGCCCCCGGGGAGCAGCTGGGGGGCTCCCCAGCATTGTTTGCTGACCCTACAGACCTGCACCAGTTTGGTTAGATACTATGCTGGTGAACAGTCAGACAGGTCAAGTTCAGTGCAGGATCTGGCTTAGCATGGATGGGATATTCCTGGTGAGGGGCTCAGAGGAAGGGACAAATGGTGGCACAGGGCAGATGTTAGCCACAAGGTGTGGAGCAGTTTGCTGCTGGCATTGGGCCATGTGATGCTGTCTTGGGCAGGGAGGGTGCATTGCCATGTTGTTGGTCCATAGATGCTCAGCAAGTTTGTGGGCTTTGGCAAGGAGAGTCTTGTCCCAGCAGATATGGGGGATGAGAGCCACCAACCCCTCCAGGGAAGGACTGGATGGGGAAGCATAGAGAAGGAGCACTCCTGAAGTGTTAGGAAGGGCAGGCTGGGAGCCCATCACCAGCACAGCTACCCTGGGGCCATGCTGAAGCCTGGACAGGCTGTGCTGTGTGTGTGGCACTGGGAGTTACCAGGTCCCCGCTCCAGGGATGTGAATGTGCTGACAGCACTGTCAGGGCTGGTGTCACCTCCTCCCCAGGACAAGGCACAGGACTGCTCCCAGCTCTGGTGGAGGAGACACTGGGTAGATCCCTGGGACCCACCTATCTGCCTCCCTGGGGATCCTCATGTTCCCCTTGACTGCCAGGATGGTGTATGCCTGTGAGCACAGAGCATCCCCATCCCTTGGCCAGGTCAGGGCCCATCACAGCGATCCAGGCAGGCTCCTAGTCTCCACAAAAATGTCAGCAAATGCCTTAAAATAATAAATCTTTCCCTGCTCAGGCACTACCCTGCCTCCAGCATGGAGTGACAGCACACAAAGCCCACAGGAATTTTACTAAGGGGTGCAAATGCAACCTCCTTAGGAACTTGGAGGGGGGTCAGACGGTGGCCCAGAAGAGAAGGCTCTGGGGAGACCTTAATAGCGGCCTTCCAGTACCTGAAGGGGGCCTACAAGAAAGCTGGGGAGGGGCTTTTCACCAGAGAGGGTAGTGATAGGACAAGGGGCAATGGTTTTAAACTGAATGAGGGTAGATTTAGGTTAGACATGAGGAAGAAATTCTTCACCATGAGGGTAATAAGGTGTTGGAATAGGTTGCCAAGGGAGGTTGTGGAAACCCCCTCCTTGGAGGTGTTTAAGGCCAGGTTGGATGAGGCTTTGCAGCCTGTTCTAGTATGAGGTGTCCCTGCTCATAGCAGGGAGGTTGGAACCTGATGATCTTTAAGGTCCCTTCCAACCTTAACCATTCTATGATTCTATGGCACTGGCAGCCCCTTTCTAGCAGCTCTGTGAGGCCACTGTGGCCCCACCACCTCCTTGTCCTCAGGAGGGACAGCCCATGAGGCTCACAGCAGGATGCTGGCAGGCAGCTAGGCCAGAGCAGCCCCCTCTAGCCCCCTGCGTCCCCAGCTGGTGGCCTGTCCCCAGCTACCCTGCATGTTGCAGCAGGGGCTCAGGGAAACTCCACAGCTCCCAGGCCATGATCCCAAAGGCTTCATCCAAGTTCCCGCCCTGATTGCTCTCCCCGGCTGAGATTTTGCTCTTATTTGGCGATACCCCGAGTAGGTGGGAGGGAACAGGGCTCTGCTGAGAAGTGACTGCATCCCTGGGTGGGGCCAGAGAAGAAGGCACCCAGCCCGGCCGGGCGCCTGCCCCCCAACCTACCCCAGCCAGCTCACCCCTGCCCCTTTGCTGGCGAGGATCCCTCTTTATGATCTGGGCCCTGTGCACTGGTCTGGGAGTGCCCTTGGCACCCAGACATAAGGCTGGGACCGGTGCAAGACCTGCCAGGACCAAGGTCGTGTCCTCCTA